TCACAAGTAAAATTGTTTGAACAGGAGAGATGGTCCTCCTGATTGAGTTAACATGCAATATGGGGTTTTTCCAAGGCTGCACAGAAGGATATGTACAACACCACTCTGTGTGTAACAAAGAGTGAGAGCCCTGAATCCAGGACACTAGCATGAGCAGCCCGCAGAGCAGGTAGTTCATGGTGACTGTGTAATGCAGGGGGTGATAGGTGACCTCGAAGTGATGTAAGGCCACTCAGAGGAGAACATCCACAGGCCTGCAAAGAGCATGACCAAGTACCTCTGGCAATGCAGCCTGCATAGGTTAGGACTGCTTTGTTTCAGGATGTTCACCAGCATCATTGGGGTGGTGTCTGAGGTGAAGCAGATGTTAGAAAACATAGTGGAAAGGAAGAAACACATGGTGTGTGGCGATATGAATCAGAGCTGGCAGCCAAGATGAAGAGCAGGGTTCCACTCAGAGTGATCAGAGCTGTAGAGGAAATGCCCACATACGCAGGGCTGCAGTTTAGAAATCAGGTAACCCTGCCTTTTGAACTCATCATGCCCTTATAACCACCTGGGCCATGTCACTATCAGGCTCTCTTCACCCTCAGTCATAATAACTGGGGATACCACGATCTGATCCGTGATTTCAACAGCAGACCATCATCCCCATAGAGTGCAGCAAGAGCATCCAGTTGTGAGTCACCACCCATAGAAATGCAAAATCAGGTTTCTGTTTAAATATGACATCTTGTGTCTTGTATTTAAAAAAACCTAAAGAACAAAAAAAAAAAATAAACTGAGAGAGAAGAAATAAATGGATAGAAGGGAAAAGAAAATTTATAACCAAAGGTGGTTCCTGAAAACAATGATGAGTAGAAAGTATCCTTGGTTTTGGCAATATTACAATACCAGTCATAGCCCCTTAATTCCCAGAAAAAATAATAAAGCAGAAAAAAGCTACTTCTCTAAAAATCAGTATTATCTTTATAATATCCTACAGAATGGACATTCCACTAGAATATGAACAAAGCTAGTTAACCCACATCTCCAAAAGGAACAAAAATCCAAATAAAGGGAGAAATGTTTGTTTTTTTTTTATTGTTGTTGTTTTGAAAATTTATTTATTCATGAATATAAGAACCGAGGTACAGTGCAGATGCACGGGAGGGTGAGAAGATTCACCAGAGACAGAGCAGGGAACAGAACAAGCGCATTGATGGAAATGCATTGCTGATGGGAGCAGCAGGCAAGACAGGAGAGTCTGCCCCACCATGTGGGATTCTCCCCGCTGGCCAGGATCAAACCCACACTGCAGAGGTTGCGGACAGCTTCACAACGCTGCACTCAACCAGCTGCACCACCAGGGGAGGCCCAAATTTGTTTTTTTTTTGTTTGTTTGTTTGTTTGTTTTTGGGTTTTTTTGTTGTTGGTTTTGCTTATTTTTTATTGACACATTGTTGGTTTATAATGTTTGTAATTTGGAAGTAGACAATGTTGCTCTTCCAGTGCTATTACTATAGTGCTCCTACCACACAAACACCCACAGTCCATTGTGCCCCCCACCCCACTCCCCACTTTGTGTTTGTTCCTGCCTCTTCCTATACCCCTTTGAATGACTCAGTTCTATTATGTGCTTTTAAGACCTAGTTTTCAAGTGTGTCTTTATCTGATCCTTTATCTGGTTTTGCTATACTCCCCATATAAGTGACACCACCTAGTATCTGTCTGTCTTCTTTTAACTTGTTTTGTTTAGCATAAACCCTTTCAGCTCCATCCATGTTGCCACAAATGGCATGAGATTATCATTTTGATCACTGAGTAGCATTCCCTTGTGTATATATACTACATCTTGATGCAGTCATCTGCTTTGGGGCTTAAGTGCTAAAGTGCTGCATTGAGCATGGAGGTGCAAGTTTTCCTTTGAATTACCATAATTATGTTGTGATATCTAGGAGTGGAATTAAAAGTTCTATACATTTTATCTTTTGAAAAACATCAATACTGATATCCATAAAAGCTGGACCAGTGTACCTTTCCACAAAAAGTAGGATAATATACATAGAGAACCCCAAAAGCTCCACAGAAAAACTAATTCAACTCATCAATCAGTTCAGTAAAGTGGCAGGATACAAAATCAACATGCAAAAGTCAGTAGCCTTCCTATACACAAACAATAAATCTGAAGAAGAAGAAATCAAAAGAACCATCCTTTTATTGTCGAAACAAAAAAAAATCAAATACTATACAAAGAAAACTATAAAACACTCTTAAAAGAAATAGAAGAAGACACAAAGAAATGGAAAGACATCCCCTGCACATGGATTGAAAGAATATACATTATTAAAATGGCCATCCTACCAAAAGCAATATACAGACTCAATGCTATTCCAATCAAAATTTCAATGTCATTATTCAAAGAAAAATAACAATTATTGATGAAATTCATATGGAATCACCAACAACCCCAAATAGCCAAAGCTCTCCTGAATAAAAAAGAAGGGAATGGAGGCATCACACTCCCAGACTTCAAACTATACTACAAAGCCATAATCATCAAAACTGCATGGTATTGGAACAAGAACAGACACACAGACCAATGGAATCGAATAGAAAATCCCGAAATAAACCCACAGATTTATGGTCAACTAATCTTTGACAAATGAGCAAAGACTATGCATTGGAGCAAAGAAAGTTTGTTCAATAAATGGTGATGGGAAAACTGGGTCGTTACCTGCAAAAGAATGAAGCTTGACCACTACCTCACACAATACACAAAAATCAACTCAAAATGGATTAAAGAACTAGACATAAGACCTGAAATCATAAAATACATTGAAGGACATATAGGCGAAACACAACATTATATGCACATCAAAGACATCTTTACAGACACATCACCCAAAGCAGTGATAGTGAAGGCAAAGATCAACAGCTGGGACTACATCAAATTAAAGAGCTTCTGCACAGCAAAAGAGACAATAACAAAAACAAAGAGAAACCCCACCGACTGGGAGAACATTTTTGCACACAACACTAATGATAAAGGACTGATCACAAAAATCTGCAAAGAACTGATGAGACTCAGCAACAACAAAGAAAATAATCCAGTGAAAAAATGGGCAGAAGAGCTAAAAAGAAACTTCTCTGAATGTAAAAATGTTCAACATCACTTGTAATCAGGGAAATGCAAATCAAAACTACCATAAGATACCATCTTACACCAGCGAGAATGGCACATATTAAAAAAAAACTAGCAACAACAAATGTTGGCGAGGATGTGGAGAAAAAGGAGCTCTGCTGCACTGTTGGTGGGAGTGCAAACTGGTCCAACCACTATGGAGAGCTGTGTGGAGATTTCTGGACCTACTAAACATATGATCCTGCAATTCCACTCCTAGGTATTTACCCAAAGGACACAGAAACATCAATTCCAAAGAGCACCAGCACCCCTATGTTTATAGCAGCACTCTGCACAATAGCTAAGCTATGGAAACAACCCAAAAGCCCAAAAATAGATGACTGGATCAAGAAGATGTGGTACATATATACCATGGAATATTACTCAGCATTCAAAGAAGATAAACACATGTAATTTGCAGCAACATGGGTGGCACTGGAAGGGATCATGCTCAGCTGGTATTTTTTCCCAGTTGGTAGTGTAGGTCTTTTGGAAATAAGCCAGAAAGAAAAAGAAAAATATCAGATGGTCTCACTCATAGCAGGAATCTAGAAAACTTAAATAAGGGACCAGGAAAATGAATAACTATAAGAAAGTGAAAATCAATATCAACAAACAACAATGAACCAGAGACACTCTATGGGGGCTGGAGCATGGGGATGGGAGGGATTGCGTTCAAAATAAGGGGGTTGCAATTGTATTGGGAATATAAAAATAAAATTTATTTTAAAAAACAAACAAACCAATAAATAAATAAATAAGTATAAAATGATTCCTTTTTATCCACATCCTCACCAACACTTCTCGTTTTTGGTCTTTTTGGAATGGGACATTCTCAGAGTGGGGAGATTTTACCTATCATTGCATTGATTTGCATTCCTCTGATGATAAGTGATGATGAACATTTTTTTCATTTGCGTGTCATCCATCTGTCTTTTTTCTTTTTCTTTTTTTTTGTTTTGAGAATTACTTATTTAGCTAATCTGCCCAATTTGTCGTTGGGTTCTTTGTTTTCTTTTGTTGAGTTATATAAGTTTTTGTGGTTCTTGGATATTAGCCCCTTGTCAGATGCATGATGTGAAATATTTTTTTTCCCAGTTGGTAGTGTAGCTCTTTTGGTTTGAAGTATAATTTTATCTCATGTAAGAATAGCTGTTCCTGCCT